GGGTTTTGAAAAGATATCAATTGATGAAAATTCTTGTATTAAAAGAAAAATATACAAAAATTACTAAACATATATTCTAAATGTTTTGTTTATCCAAACTTGTTTTAGGGGAAGTGTACAACAGCATATATAGGAATTAAAATATAGCACATAGTTCCTTCAAGTGTTGGAACGCTTCAACTCCAGGGAAAAAGACAAGCTTTTTATTAGTTCAAATTTGCCGCTCAATAATACAACCGTAGTAACGGAAGTAACGGAAGTGATGGGAAGCGAGGGGAGGTAAAAACTGATACATAGGCCTAGCAGCTTGTTTACATGTGGTAAGATCGAATTATTGTTTGAAGTTTAAGGTACATTTATTAAATCTGGAATTTTCCATGAATCCCGAGGACTGGAAATGAGAGGATTGTATGGATAGAGATGATTCAGCTGGTTGTCAGGGGGGTGTGTCCCCATACCAAACCAGGTTATACAGAAATAATTTGTGTTCCTTTTTGGATATTAACCAATCAGGGGCTAGAATACAAACAAAATTAAATTATATTCATTTATTCATTCACTCATTCATTCAGCGCTGCGCAATGCGATATACTAACACTCTATGTTGTCTTTGTTCAGAGTCTGTTATAAACCTAAACACCCCTATTTTAAATAATGTAGCATTCCAGGTAGACTACCAGGTATTGTAGGAAATGGGTTATTCCTTTATTGACTGTTACATTGATTTCTATATATTGGTCAGTGTGGTTGAATGGTTTTGGCGGGAATTAGATTCATGGTTTCTTTTATTACTTTGAGAACTGGTTTTGAAGGGTGTGAAGCTTTATACATGTAGATATACACATTTTATAGAGTTGGAATCTACCCTTATTCCTGTAAGTAAATTGAATAAATAATTAAACTATTAAATAAGCACTTAAATAATTTATTTATGAATGAGGAATCTAAATAATTTATTTTAATCTAAACTTGCGAAATGAAGTGTGAGTGTTTGAAAGATATGTATATAAATGTATATATAAATTGATAAATTATGTACGTGCAAAAGTTATAATTGCAAGTTAACATTTTAATTTATTCATGTATCCTAAATAAGGGATTTGTGAATTCGTTGTAATTTTAAACAATTGTTAATCAGGTTATTCATATATTCATATGGAGCTGAACCGAGATGGATATAGGAATCACCTGGTTCCATAAACTGGTATGTGAAAGATGTGATGATATTGGATTAATATAAATGTTGTAATTAATGTAAATATTACTTATGAGATATTTCTACAAAGTAGGAATAGAAATATAATAGTTATAAAAGCAGAGCTATAAATATATCAATTATCTGAGTGATGTGCGACCTAAGTATTTTAAATATTAAATGAGGTGTAAATGTAAATGGCCTATAATTAATTGTGTTAAAATGTGTTTATTTGTTTGTATGTTTTGTGTATGTCTGTGTGTGCTTATTTGTTGTAACTATTGTAGGGTGTATATGTACTGTTCCTAACGATCCTGAAATATATATACCAAATACAATATTGGATCCACACCCCAAACCGTCTTAATTGTTGTTTATCAACCCAAGAAACGGTTACAATTGTCTTAAAAATAATGTCAAATTATGCAACATATATTTACAACCATATGTATACATATCGGCACCAAAACTTCCCATGAGAAGATGTCCCCAAACGAAAAAGGTTTCAAAGTGACCATAAGCCTTGACACATGTTTGAGGGACGAAATTATAAATCTTAGAAATGTATGATGAAAGGACTTCTTTTACCCACATCTTTTCACGAGAGGAACAATCAATCAATGTAAGGAAAAGAGAGAATTTAAGAAAAAAAAGCAGAGAGAAGGAAAAAGGAGACGATATTAATTACATTTGCTTTTTTACAAAAGCTTGATATGAACTTAGTACAGAATTTAAAAACATTTTTTTACAATTAATACATACTAGAAGAACAAACAGGAATGGTGTTAAATTTATCCATGAATTTGATGTCCATATATTCGGATGGTCGACATTTACATATTTCGACAACTTTCCTATTTCTGCAGATTTGTAGACACGCCTACAATAAAAGAACATTTTGGTATCTTACTTTGTCGTAGAATCTTGACATCTGAAAGCACGCCACAAAATGTTTATAAAAAATATTGATAAAAATAGTACAAACTACAAGTTTGCATACTACCAATTGCTTAAAGCTGTCTTTTTATCTGCATTAAATTGAACAAAAGCACCGGCGTAAATCAATACCCTCGATCAATGAAGATCAATGCAAAAATACATGTAGTTTTAAATAGATTTTAATTTGTACTATTTAAACATAAGAAACTTAACTTTGCAGTCACTGACATTGAAAGTTTACAACAATGACTGCCTTTTTTTGTTTGGGGTGTGTAGTGTCAAATCGAACCGTGTCTATATTAGGCCAGTAACTCTACCTTTCACCAAGAAATTTAATACATACGTTTCTACCTCTACACACTATTTTAAAGAGTGCTACACATGTAAGTGCAACTATAAGTTCCGCCTACTATTTGAATTTAGTTAGACAGCGGTTTGGCGACCCCTGCGTAATACGTATTAACCTGTTGTCATGTATTTGCTTGTTTTAAACTATTTAGCTGTCAGGAGGACATCCGATGATTCAAACATAAGATAGCTCAGAATCTTACCTTCTGCAAAAAAAAAACAAAAAACAAAAAACAAAAAAACCCCATATTTTTCTACAGTTAATTATATATAGTCAACCTTCGTTATTCCAATTTCTTAAACTAAAATTAATCAGTTCTAACTATCAAAATCATTCTGTTTAATGGTGTTTATTTATTTTATTAATTTATTTTTATTGGATTCTTTCCAAACATGAGAGTCAGGGGAAATGAGGTCGGATAAGGAACGGTTTTGGTTCACTGAAAAATGTTTGGATATGACAGAAACTGGAAGAAACCCCATAAGCAAAAGTTTCCCAAACTGTTTTTGTAACTATGCAGAAGAATATTTATTATAGTTGTACATGGATTGGATATGTAAATACACTCATTTATTACTACTGCGGTGATATTTCTGGCCCACTCACTAACCTGCAAAGAATAGCGAAATCCGTACGTCTTAAAGAAGACATCTCCTGAATCACAGATACCATATGGTGGTTCTGCACGCATCACACGTACCTGATAAATATATCTGAGTAGAAGGATTTTTTTAATGCAAACACTGACAGGTCCGACATGAAACATTACTTTTAAATAGAAAGATTCCCTTTACATTTTTTTTTAAATTTATCACTCTCTATTTCTTTATTCCTACGATTCTCATTCCAATAGTTGTTTCATATCCCGCACTGATCGTGTAACCTTCATCCTGTGGAAATGGGAAGGTTCCAGGTTCATGAATAACAAGTCGGAAACCGGATCCATCAACTAAAGTATTTAATAACTCAAATTTCTCCACTTGTAATATCAATTGCAGGCCTAGAGAAGAAATTTATATTGGAATTAGTAATATATTCAAACAAGAGGCCCAAGGGTCACTCCGCTCAAATGAGTAACTATGGTCCTTATTTCTTCATCTGGAAATTCTTTAATTTTCTTACATACTAGTATTCTTATTTAAAACTTTAATGCCTTTTTATTACACCCGTACCCATGGGGACATGATATGAACAAATTTGAATTTACGCTACCTGAGGATGCTTCCATATAAATATGACTAATCATGGCTTTGCTGTTCCCGAGGAAAGGATTTTTAAATACTTCTCCTATACATTCCTTCTTTTTTAACTGTTTAAACTTTGATCCCCCTTTTCTGCCCCACCCTACACTCAGGGAATTTTTCCCGGGGGGGGGGGGGTCCACCCAGTCAAAATAATTTCCAACCCAAAATTTTCTTGCCAAGCAAAAAAAAAAAACAAAAAAAAACAGCCCCGCCCCCTAAATTCCCTTCCCAAACGTATTGAAACAAAAACCTAGAAAATTTGTTGACAAGCAAAAAAAAGGCGATGGTGGGGTCCACATTTTCTAGGGGGGATCCAGAGTCATTTTTTATTTGCTAAAGTATATACTTGTAATAACTCTGCAAATTCCATGGGGGAGCGGACCCCCCCCCCATAGATCCGCGCATGGGGGTCATATATACTAGTATGTTAATTTAAATTAAACAAGGAAACTAAATGTATTTCATGATATCTTCGATCTTTTGGAAAACAGGTCAAATTTTATTTGATATCGTTTAAATGTGGAAAAATTTCTAATGTGGGACAGATAGTAATCGGTAAAATCAATATACACATGAATATGACATATATAGTCAAATATATTAAATTCACAAACTTAGCTTTTCTTTTGCGTTTTTTCTCATTTACTTTCCAAAGAAGATTATCAAATTAATATAAATATTATATTAATATTTATATAAATATTTATATTATATTTGTATTTAACCTCATCTTTAAAACATCATAACATAGATTGATAAATACTTACCATTCGTGGGACCTGTTTTTCTTGTTATGAACATGTCGCTTGATAGAGTGTAACAGTTTCCATACTCCATAGTTTGAAACAGAGTAAAGTTACTAAAAGATTAAAAAGAGAAAAAGAATCACCGTCAATTTTATTTTGATGTAAAGAAAAATATTTTTTATTTAAACAAATGAAGCAAAAATTGATAATCTTATTAATCATATATTTTGATACATAAATAACTGTCATATCTTCTGCGGTGCGACCGTTTGGGCCAGTGCAGTGCTTTATGTATTTGATTGATTTGAAAAATAAAATAATCAAATAAAAATTTGATTTCGTTTTTGAGTCAACTGAAAATTAGTTTTAAGAAAAATGTTGATACATGTACATTTATACAATTAACACTGTTGAAAACACGCACCATCAATTAAATAGCTATATATCTTCAAACTGCATGAGACTTTTGAAGACGCAGTCAGTCTGGACTTTGACGTCACATTTTCGACCTAGTAGCTATGTTCAATATTCTTTAAAGTAAGTTTCTTTTTATTTGTACTTTTTGTACTTTTGTTTGGTTATCACGAGAATGTAGTCTGAGCAGCTGATAAAATTTAGGGAGGATTGTAGTTACTGAGCCCCTATCCTCACCAGTATGGATGGGGATGGGATGGGGGACTCCTAAAGATAGATAGAAATCAACTTACTCTGCCGAGCATTTCTTTCCATTGAAGGAACAGGTTATTAGCATGTTTTGAATAGAATGTCCTAATTCTCTCCGTGTTTCCCTGGAGATATTAAAAAATCAAAAACAAAACAAAAACAATTGTAGAATTTGCACTTGATGTCTTCCTTTGCAATAAAATAGTTGAAACAAACTGAAACATTGTAAAATAATGTAAAGAGAGGCTAGAAGGGATGAATGAGATATTTTTAAAAGACCAGTTTTCCTCTCCGTAAGTGAATATAAATTATCTTTTTATTAAAATTTTCCTTGAGGTTAACCTTACCAAATTAAGAAAACAAGAAAAATATGCCAAAACTGACACGTCTGAGAGGTTTGAAATCTTTAAACGGCTATTGCAAAACTTGAAACTTCATATTCATATTCATCAAAATGTATATCACTTTTAAATTAGTGAGAGAGACATATAATGAGCTATGACTTATAGAATAATATAATTATGCTGTAAATAAACCAACTTACTTTGATTGGTTTTGGAAGAGAAATTCAAACCTCTCCATCTTTTTGCTCCATTCATCGTCCTCCCACGCCCTTTGATCCTCCATATAATCTCCAAATTCGTATAGTGATTTGTGATAGACTATCATGTGATCAATATTGAAATTAATGTCACGCCAATAGTCCCACCACCAATTCTACCAGATATCATTATACGTTAAGTAATCCCCGAGTGGATCCGAAGAGTTAGCACTTCCAAAATCATCAGATATGGTACAAACTGGATTCGAACTTGTTATGTCTTCATTGAGAATATTATTTGGATTTGACAATTCGTTCTCTTTGGGTACAGGGTCTATAACATTTTTCAGCTTAGACCCTTCGATAAGTGGTAACGATGAGTTCTTTACTGGATTCAATTGCAGAGAGAGATAGATGGAAACCGCAGAGTATCCCTTTTCATAGACACTTTTGTTTGAATAGGATATGTGGTGTATTCTTTAACGAGTTGATAAATTTGGAACACTAAGAATCCAAATGTCACAAGAACCAGACACGACCAAAGACCTCGTTGATACCAGTGTTTGGATGAGAGAATTCTGGGGATTCCATGAAGACTTGTTTGAATGCCTAGCGAGTGGAATACATCCTTCACTGAATCATATTTCTCTTTTTTGGCTTTTCGTTTATCAATGATTCTCTAGAATGATAGAAATTCAAGACCTAATTAAATTTCCGATTCTGAAGTATTTTATAACACTTAAAGTCATTAGAAGAATACTTGATTCCAAAATAATACTATACATGTAATTACATTTAAGTCTTAGTTATAATTATGAAAGTGTTCAATTCTGATACATTTCCCTTATTCATACCCAAGTTTCGGGTAGATCCGTCAGTAGAGGATTATGGGGAGACAATGGGGACAATAGGAGAGGACTACATTAGTTTTTGGACTTTGTGTCCAATCCCTTTGACATATTGTCAATAAAATATATTCAAAACTAAACCCGTCAATATAAATCAAGGTTAAGAAAAACTGGATTGAAGCAGATTTGAATCACGTTTATTTAAGCTTTTAAAATACTGTATTTCACATTAACTCTATTGGTGCAAAATTGATGAAAAGAAAGAAAATCCAATGGGGACACATCTGAAACTCATCCATAAACACAGAGCCAATTCAAGGACTGTAATCTTTATCGAAAAATCTAAAATTTAACGAGCTATTGTAAAGAATCGCACAGAATCGAAAAAGCAAAAAACATAGCAAACTGGAGGATGTATTGGAGAGTTTGGTCACTTAAATTTCATGTCATCAGTGGTTCTACTTATTATTCCACGGTAAATACACATATAGCCACTTGTGAGAGTCTTTTAACCACGATGCCGAAGTTCAGACCAGGGGAGTCGATAAGTATATGGGTACATTCAATTGCAGCAAAAAAAACCCCGATATTTCACTAGCTTCAAAAAAGTTGATTTGATAAGTCATCTCCTTTTTATGTATTAAAGCATTTGTTCAAGATATATTCTTTTTTTTTTACAATTAAGCTATTTAAATATTGTATTCAGAAACACCAATTAAATCGAAATGACTCCGTTTAACATAAACTCTCACAGCAAAGAAGCATTTGAAGTGGTAAAACGGAAATATTTATTGTTGTTTCATATTAAGGAGCTTTCTATCCACAATATTAGTTATACCTTTATACTATAGTCTTGTGTTACAATCTTCATATATTATAAAAAGTTATCATCATTCAGGATTATATATGGTCTTTACATAGGAAGTTCATCTAGAAACACCTTTCCAACATTTGTATACATTCATATACATCCATTTTTGATGTATTTAAAGCCTATTTAGCAATTCCAAGTTCAAGTTTAAATAAGCCTGGATTTTTTCTAAACTTTTTAGCTCACCTGAGCGGAAGGCTCAAGTGAGTTTTTCTGATCAAAATTTGTCCGTTGTCTGTCGTCGTCGTCGTTGTCGTAAACTTTTCACATTTTCATTTTCTTCTCCAAAACTACCGGGTCAATTTCAATCAAACTTGGCACAACGTATCCTTGGGTGAAGGGGATTCAAATTTGTTCAAATGAAGGGCCACGCTCTCCTCCAAGGGGAGATCATTAAGAAATAGCAAAAAATTAATGGCATTATTGAAAAAATCTTCTTCTCAAGAACCAACGGGCCAAGAAAGATGAAACTCATGTGGAGTCATTGTCAGGTAGTGTAGATTTAAGTTTGTTCAAATCATGACCCCCGGGGGCAGGGTGGGGCCTCAATGGACGATCAAAGTTTTACATAGGAATATATAGGAAAAATCTTCAAAAATCTTCTCCTCAAGAACAGCAAAGTATGATAGGTGGTATTTAAATGGAAGTATCCTCAGGTGGTGTAGATTCAAGTTTATTCAAATCATGATCCCCGGGGGCAGGGTGGGGCCACAACGGACAATCAAAGTTTTACATAGGAATATATAGGAAAAATCTTCAAAAATCTTCTTCTCAATAACAGCAAAGCTTATGATTTGTCATATTTATATGGAAGCATCTGAAGGTGGTGTAGATTCAAATTTGTTCAAATCATGACTCCCAGGGGTAGGGTGGGGCCACAATGGACGATTTAAGTTTAACAAAGGAGTATATAAGAAAAATCTTCAAAAATTTCTTCTCAAGAACAGCAAAGCCTTGATTGGTCAAATTTATATGGAAGCATCTGAAGGTGGTGTAGATTCATATTTGTTCAAATCATGACCCCCGGGAGTAGGGTGGGGCCACAATGGACGATCAAAGTTTTCATAGGGAATATAGAAAAAATCTTCAAAAATCTTCTCAAGAACAGCAGAGCTATGATTGGTCAAATTTATTTGGTAGCATCCTCAGGTGGTGTAGATTCAAGTTTGTTCAAATCATGACCCCCAGGGGTAGGGTGGGGCCCCACAATGGACGATCAAAGTTTTACATAGGAATATATAGGAAAACTCTTCAAAAATCTTCTCCTCAAGAACAGCAAAGCTATGATAAGTCATATTTAAATGGAAGTATCCTCAGGTGGTGTAGATTCAAATTTGTTCAAATCAAAACCCCCGGGGGTAGGGTGGGGCCACAACGGACGATCAAAGTTTTACATAGGAATATATAGGAAAAATCTTCTCAAGAAAAGCAAAGCCACTGTTTGTCATATTTATATGGAAGCATCCTCAAATAGTGTAGATTCAAGTTTGTTCAAATCATGACCTCCAGGAGTATGGTGGGGCCACAATGAAAATTTAAACCTGTAGAGAAAAAAGTCACATACCCCCACTCCCTTTAAGGGGTAGGTTGGGATCACTTATGTATTTAAGCTCTTTAATACTAAACTGATTTTTCCTCGCCACAATGCTCAGGTGAGCGATGTGGCCCCTGGGCCTCTTGTTTAACTTAGTTCACTTTAACAGCTGTTTAAGACTCAGGTGTGAAACGGAGTTGCAAAATGTTCATTCTTCTGGGTGCTAACTCTGGTTTAAACAAAGATAAGATGTTTGATCATTTCTGGAACAGTTCATCTGCAAACGATTTTTTTAATGATCAAATTAAACTCGTTCTATTTTTTTCTCGGGTGATTTCGTTCTTTACCAATTACAGATGTAAAAAACGAGTTAGTGTCTTATCAAAATTAGTCAATGTCTCTGCGAATTATCAGACCTTTTTTACAACTATTTTACCAGACAAATACTTAAAGAAATCAAATCAAAACTGAAGGAGAGTGGTCCAACAATTTTGATATTGGAGCGGATATGAGGTCGATATCGGTCCAATCGGTTAAATGTTGAATTCTAGGCCTAAGTAAAAGACTTTTTTCTTTTCAAGTAGCAGTCATTGAATAAATTCTGCTTATAAAGAATACAAAACCAGGTTTTTTAATAACGGGGCACAATTAGTGCATGGAAATTACAAAGATTGTTAGAAAACCCGGTCTCCAAAGATTTCACAGATATTGTCAATGAGAAACGCAAGCATCTTTTAAATCAACTTTGGAATACATGTATTTATGTGTAGAATCAAAATGCATTTTAACAAAATAAGTTTACAGGTGCCCAATGTTGATTTACTTTAAGAGAAACACGGCATATGTTCAATTTAAGATATTTCACACATTTCAATTGTAGATATCAGTATACTATTTATACAAGAGGAAGCAATTTTTCTGCAGTGTTCCATGTATGTAGTAATATAAATCCAATGGACATACTATTAGACCTAGTTGGAAGCCATTATTCTGCACATCTGATCGTGTGCTCACAAAAGGACGCATGCCAATATGTGTTCTAAGGAAAAACCTTTTACTGTGTAATGCAAAACTAACTTAAATATCAATTCTTATACTCTAATATTACTCAGTAGTGTTTTATGTTCTGAATAGGTTAATTTGAAGAAATAAACATTTATTTGAAAATTTTGTTTGTTTATTTTTTCCGCCCTCCCTTGTAGGTTTTGAATTGTTTAGGTGACGTTAAACGTACAATTTACTTCTGACAGCCTTACAGAATAGAACTATCATAATCGTGCCGAAAACTAAAAACAAATCAAATATGTAAATATCTTGCTTATATGCAATACCTTTAAATATCTCCGTGATTTCTTCCGTAATAATGCCAAACGCCGTTTCAAATTTCCATTAAATGTGCGTTTTTTACAACAACGATACTGTGATGCGTATGAATACAAAAATAGTCCTTGTGTACAATTTCCCCCATAATTCGAAAATAATATAAAATCTTAATGAATTACTCAACTGTCTTTAATGCCATTAGTTCTTTTTTCAATAAAAAAAAAAATCAGAGATAAATTGACCCTACTTTTCTGCAAATACTAACAGACATGAGAACAGTAAAGAAATGAACATAAGTTTTTCGTCAGTTTTTAATATACTCAATTTTTTTAAGATATGCTAAAAATCATTGCAAAATTGTGTTTGCGTTCAATGATATTAAATTCAATGATATTGAATTTTTCAAACTGCAAGTCAATTTGCGAAATCTGGGGATGAATACTAGTATATGAGATGTGTTCTTTAGGTTATGCAGGAACATTATTCTATGATATTCTAAATACAATTTAATTCTGTTATGTGAAAATAACTTATAAACACACAGAAAAGTCTTCATAAAATCCATAAATCTGGGGTAGACATAATAAGACTACATTAATAAGATTTTAGTATTATTATTGTTGATTAAGTGTACATTAGTGTCACTATCTTTTTCTTAAATTATGTCTAAAATAAAAGATGCTGGTAAAACATTTTGATCGATTCATATGAAATATTTCTAACAAGAGTAACGGCAACAATAATAAAATAGCAAAGCTGGTATACAAAATTAAAATTTGAAATGAATCAATCGCAACCCAAGCTGATTGTTGGTAAATTCGTTATTTGAATATTTATAGAGGAAGTGTTGACGTCTTGTTAAAATGAGTTGATATCTAGTTAATCAATGCCAGACATTATTTCGTTTTGAAATACCCTTACAAACAATTCTCTATACAAGTACTACAAACAAAAGCCCTAGATTTCAGAAATCTCGTGTTAAACGGTTCTGTCTTCAATAATCCATAAGTTAAAAAAAAAAATTAGATTACTAGATTACACGATGACTATGTACTGATACCAGATGACAAAGCAAGTTACAACATAGTCTTTGTTTGCGAAGGAATAAAATCTGCAAAATCATATCAAGTGTCAATTTTTAACAATCAAATTGAATTTGAATAACCATACCTCTACTGGCCGGATTCATAAACGTTTAAAAACAAAAATAAAATACAAAAGGGATTCTAGTAAATGTTAGACCAAGCCCATTTCTTTAATCCTCACAAAATATTGACAAAAGAAACTTCAGGAGCACTGTCCAACAACATATTCGAGAAGTGGAAATCATCAGATGTGGATACTTAAAAATTTACAAAATTCAATTGCATCAAAACGTACGAATTCTCCACACTTTATAAAACCACTCCCCACGATAAATTAAAGACAAGGTTTTGTTGTTGTTGCTGTTTTTTGTTGTTTTTTTTTTTTTTTGGTTGTTGTTTTGTTTTTTGTTTTTGTTTTTTTTGTTTGTTTGTTTGTTTTTTTTTTTTTTTTTTTTTTTTTTTTTTTGTATCATAGACAACTGCTTCCTCAATAAAAATGGAACTCGTAGATATGCATACCTTTTCAATGCAAACTTATTTTGTTAAAAACATTCTGATCTTACACACAGGTACTCCGAGGAAAAGATATTTAAGGTGCTCATTTAACTCTGCTCACAATTATTGTTGAAATTGATTTTTGAGCATGATCACTGTTTCTTATCTTCACTTTTCTTCTTAAGGAGGGCAGTCAAAAATTTTGAAATTTGACCGTATGACGCCATGTCGGTCCAAAATTAAAAGACTTTTTCCCACCCACATCATATCTAATCAAAAGTCTTTATATTCCGTCGTAAAAGCAGTGCCTGGGAAGAATACAAAGTTTATAATATCCAGATTTTTTAACAGGTCAGGGAAGAATACAAAGTTGTTTATAATATCCAGATTTTTCAAAAGGTTTCATGCAAAAGGAAGATATAGCAAAACATCTATTGCCTGAGATTCTGGCAACTATATATGAAATTTGTTTGGCTCTCAGACAAAAATGTTAACCTGAGCATTTGGCTTCGGTGATATTTCTGTCTTCAGTCAATATTTCCGTATAAAACTGAATAAATCCCCTATTGTCTTTTTTTTTTCATGTCATTTACACAAAACAGGTGTCTTCTAAGTTTTCAAAAGAACATATTGAAAGTTTTCTTTAATCTAACAAAACATTTAAAAC